TCTGTTTATAGACCTTGTTTTTGTTTCGAAATTCGAAATGGCAGACAGTAAAATCATAATTCATTAAGAAATTTATAAGAACTATTTGCAATTTTACATGATTCTAGAGTCGTAGAGGGCGCAAAACAGAATGCCATGGCATACGAAGGACTTCAGAGGGCGACTACAACTTCTGGAAACAAGCTCTCACAGACTTCGTACCCAGGGTAGCATTCCCTCGGGGTTCTCGAGGATGAATCTCTCAATAATTCATAGTGCATTTCATAAAACCATGAACAAAACAAAGTATTATTAGACTCTTTAATTACTTTGTTTTCTTTCCCTCTTTGTATGACTACTGCATAGACAACAATGGACGTCTAATTGCTTTTCGGCGGTTAATTAATGAACCAATGCTCATGTTCGTCAACCTTGCATGCTTAAAATTCTCATGATCACTTACCCATTTGAAAGCTGGAGCCCAGAAAAATATCGTTTTTGGTCCTAAATGGTCAAAGATGAGAGAATACAACAAACAATCAGTTCAATAAGGCAATACAGTACTTGACTTTCAGTCAAATCAACGAAATATTATAAGGTTTCAGTCGACAGAGGTCACGAATACGCGGCACTTTGAAATGATGATAAACTACAGAAAAAATAGTGCTAAAATCTCGACTTTTCTTACCTGCTGGCGCATTCCAAAACGGTAGCATCCGCCGGGGAACTACACTTTCTATTCTACTAAGAAATCGAGCCCAAGCAACACTCATTTTCTTATAAAAATAATCAAAAAGCTATTACAAATGTCGGATTTCCCAATGCTAATTTGATTGCATGATATAATTATATATTCACAAAATGAACCAATCAAAATGATGCTTTTATGCATTGGTTTGTTGAGTTTTCGTCATTGTTCCGACTATCTTATCATTGGTTCTTCCCTAAGTTGATTTAACCAATAGAAGGTGCGGTTAGATTTTAGCTTATGCTACGAAATCCTGACCAATCAATGCACTTCTTTTAATTTGAAATTRCAGGGAAGGCGCGAAGTGTCACGTTTCACATTTCACCAAAATGTAGAGCAAACAAGTGTTACTTTTGCGGATTTTTTGAACAAAATGAGGTTCTTTATACGAAACAAAACCAAGTATAATCCTGAAGATGCATTTAAGAGTGCAATCGTAGCCGTAGATGTGGACCACACTCAAGAAATCGGCAAAATAAAAGAGGTCAATGTCGCTGCTGTGTTGTTGTTGTCGTGGGTTCGTGTTTACGATTTCTTCTATTGTGTTTCCACCTACAGGAGGCCAGAAAGATTGCCAAAGGATGTAAAATTACAGCTCTCTACGTAGCTCGTCATGATGGTTCATTTATTGATCTCGCAGATGATAGGTACGTTAAATTTGTGAAGCTTACTTTCTGCTTGTCACAGTATAAGCTTAAGTTTACGTACTAGACRAAAGGCGTCAATAAAAGCTGGGTCACACTTGACATTAAGMAACTGCYGRTGTTGCTTTRATTTACACACTTTTCAGCATAAGCAGAACCAGAAACATGAAAAATATAGAATCATTTTCTCGTGTGATATATGTGCCAGTAGAAGCACAAGAGAATGACAAAGTTTTCACTATGTTCTT